GACAATGCAGCAGTCCCCCTTCTACCTGAACTACGCGCAAAACCCTACAGTGCCCATGACGCCGAGTCCGGACAACCCAACACCACGTGCACAGCAATTCACCGAAATTCTGCAAGCTGCCCGCACCAGAGCCGCAGAAGCAATTACAAAAGCAAACGACATCGGTAAGCGCAACGCTGACCGCCACCGCCGCCCAGTCACATACCAGTCAGGGGATTACGTACTACTCGACACGCAAAATCTGCGACTGCCCGACGTACCAAAACTCCGACCGCGCTACTGTGGCCCATTCCAAATCAGCCACATGATCACGCCAGTAACCGCGCACCTATTGTTACCGACCGACTGGTACATCAGCCCTTCGTTCCACGTCAGCTTGCTTCGCCCCTACATCCCAACCACAAGCCAACTGCCTCGCCACCGCCCGCCATCCATGACTCGCCTTGCATCGGAGCCGATCATCGCGCCTGAAAAAATCCTGAGCCATCGGATTCGACACCCCACGGGAATCAAGAGGATTGAATTCCTCGTTCGCTGGAAGGATCGCACGCCAACTGAGGACAGTTGGGTGCCTCTGGCCAACATCGAAAACCACCCTGCCCTGCAAGTGTACCTGAGGAGCCAGGGATTCCGCGATATACACGCACTCGCGTAGCGGAGGGGGCTTCTTGAGGGGGGGGGGGGGGGGGGGGGTAGTGTAAGGATTTTTCTCGGCATTCCTTACGGAGCCCGACTACATCGCGTACAGCAACAGCCGTTGTTCGCCCGTTACTGCTAACGGGGCTTCGCCGACTTCGCGCGCACTGTTTCACCAAACCTCGCACTGCTGGCCTGGCCATGTCGGCCTACGCTTTGGGACTAGCCCGAGCCTCGCTTCCAGCGTAGCACTTGCTAGCTCGCACGCACCGCGTTACCGTTTGCATGTTTCGCGTAGAAATGTTCGCTCATGCCTTAGCTGACATTTTGTACTCGTTTGACACCTTAGTGCAATTCTCGCTACTTCGATTCATTGCACCCGTAACAACCGTCCGATATCTCCATCCGTCCATTCAATTCCATCAATCTAGGAGTGGTTGCGGGGGGATCCAAGTTTGTGTTTTCGTGCATTCAGTTCTAAGTATGAAATAAAGAGAGTTTTTTAGTGCACGCAGTACCCCGCGATTTAACCCCAGAAAGGCTAACATTGATCATAAGATGAAGTGACTAGCTTCTAGAAAATGAACTGAACTGGGAGAATCAGGGTTGTGTAAACTGCCGCCGCGGTGTTGAGATACGAGATGCCCTCGCGCTTCTCGAAGCATCAGTTCAGCCGTTGGATTTAGTGATCCGAGGGCCCTGCTGCTTCCTTCCAGCCCTCCACTCCACCCTCCTCCCTCCCATCCCATCAACGCTTCCTCGTCCTATTCCTATGATTCAACTCCCCCTTTCTATCGCTCTTCGTTTCTACTGATCCAAGTAACTTCTTGTTACTCTTGGGAACTACGCTGATCTGTGGCTTTACCTACGCATCCTTGCAGTCCACTGATCCGGATTCGTCGTTCCTCAGCCGTCGGCCGCGCCGACTGGCTTTAACCTTCTGATTGTGCCTGTTTAGTTCCTCAGACATCGCAGCAGAGGGTGTTTCCCGCGAGTTCTTTCTAGGGGGAGTTGGACGGTGGAGATTCGCGTTTGACCGTTTTTGTTGATAGTCAACCATGTTGGGGGAGATCCTTAGCGTTCAGCCAGGGGAGTTGAAATTTCCATGTGAGTATGACTCTTCCCCTATTCTAGCTCATACAACGTGTATGTTGCCACTATCGGCATGTTTCGTCTCCCACAGACCACTTTTCTCGCCGTAGAGTTTTGAGCTGCTTCAGTCACCAGCCATTTCAGCGATCCCCGTGTTCCTAGTATGTATGTGTGATTTCGTTTCTGCCGCACTTCGAGTCGCGATGGTCAGTGTTGAAAATCTGCTGGTTCATTTTTCTCATAGTTTTTTTACACTTTGTAAATTCCCGATCAGCGTCGCCTGAGCTCTGCGCTGTCCGAACGATTCCTTAGCAAGATTCGCATAACTTCGGACGCGATCCATGAATCTGTGCACCCAAACAAACGTCGTGCGTGTGCGATCGCGTCATCTGTGCAGTTGAGCTCCGTAAACAAGTCTCAACGTCTCTCCGACTGGTGAACGTCACTTCGGAATATGTCGCCTTCAAGGTGCGTTGCACTAGCAACTTTAAACACCCATTGCAACGCCGCCTTGTCTCATTCCTTTCCGCGGCTATCGTTGTTCACTTTCCCGTGCTGTTCTGACAGATCTGTCTCACTATCTCATTTTGTTTTTTGCTCTGCCTCCTTCCTTCGTGCTGTCTTCGTCCCTCCGTTTTCACCCCTCTTCTTCCTCTCAGGTTAAGACGACATCTCCAAAGAAGTACTGCGTGCGGCCTAACACGGGTCTGGTCCCCCCTCAAAGTAGCGCCGAGGTTGTGGGTACGTATTCCCTCATCCGATCCCGCTCTCGATCATCTTTCAAGCCCTACTGTCGCTGTTTTTTCGACGCTTCAAACCCGCTGCTAGCTGCCGTCGCTGTCGGCTCATTGTGTGTGTTTCATCGTCGCTTCGTCTCAGCTTTACGATCCGCGATATCTCCTAGCGTGTGATTAGTGGCGTGTGGCGTATCGGCGTGTGGCCTAATATCATTGACGTTTGGCTCTGTTTCGCTATGCTGCAACGCGTTACAGTGACGATGCAAGCGCAGAAGGAGATGCCGGCGGATCTGCAATGCAAGGACAAGTTCCTCGTCCAGAGCGTGCTCGTGCCGGGGGGAGCTCCCAAGGAAACCACGCAAGACTTCGTACGTTGCTCCTGCATGCCGTTGCCACCACATTCATGCGTGGTCGAGAAAGCGGTTGTTCCTTCCGTTCAGTCGTAGTCATTCAGTCTGCTCGTCGCCGTGCTTCCACTGTCGCACAAGGGTCCCTTTACCTACATGTACTAGAGAAATGGACCATTTTCTCTTCGTGCTGGCGTCCGCTAAAGAATTTTTGTTGACAATTTCATCCGTTTTTCGCGAATTGATGGGGATTGACGGGTTTGCAGTTTAACAAGGAGAACGGCCGGGAGGTTCACGAGGTGAAATTGCGGGTGATCTACGTGGCGCCACCTCAGCCGCCGTCTCCGGTGGCTGAGTCAGCAGAGGAGGGTGTCATTTCGCCCAGCCCCTTCCCCTCCAGCACCAAGGGCCTCACCCCCGCTGATCCTGTACGTTCGATAGCTGCCTTCCCTGGATTGTGTTGGATCATCTTTAGCTTTCTTCTTTGTTGCTCTTGCAACCCTGACCTTTCTGCTCCATGCGTCATGTGAATTGTCTCTTTTTTCGCCCACCCTGGTGTCACCCAACCTCTCTCGCCCTCCCCCTTTCAGTCTCCCACACACACAATCACACACACACACACACACACACACACACACACACACACACACACACACACACACACACACACACACACACATACACACACACACACACACGCACACACAACACACACGAAGAAGTGCACACTAATTGAACCCAGCTAAGCGCAATCACTGCGTTATTGCAGCCTTTCGAGCCTTGCAGCATTGTCACACGTGCTCTTCCCGTGGGCGTATCAACGAATTTTCTTCCCCGGCGCTCGATTCGCTATGCCTGATGTTTTTGACTGCAGAGTGCAAAGGACGTGGTTGAGCTCAAGGCAAAGCTTACAGAGGTATGTGTCATATCGCGTATCTCTTACTGCTGCTCTGCTCTCCCCACCACCCCCCAGCCCAACCACCAACACCCCCCCCCCCCTCATCCCCTACCTCTTTTGCCCCCCCTTTCTCCCCTCCCACCCGTCCACCCACACAACGCCATTTAGTTGTCCCTTTAAAGCCATGCCCGTTTCTTCATATGCTTCCTAATTCATCACTCTTGCACCCGCTATTGTGTTATCATGCTTATTCGATGTAGTTGGTCGTCCCTGGGTCCACCACTCATAACAGCTCTCTGTTTGCTCCGTGGTGTGTACAATTTGAATCAGGCCAAGTCTGCTCTTGCTCAAGCCACGGACGATCGCAACAATGCAGTGCGGGAGGTGCAACGCCTCAAGGTCAGTGTGCTTGCTGATCTTGTGCTTTCCCACAATTACGTTTCCCACAATTACGGTGGTGGAATTCTGATGGCTCATAGAAGAAACACGGCAGAGACAGCAGGTTGATTGTTTCGTGCCGTTTTTGCTAACTTTCTGAAGCTGAGTTGATTGGGAGTCGCTCGGAGTGAAATGCATTTGCTCGTGTGCTCACTTTCCCCTCATTCCATTCCTCCGCTGTTTCCACTGTTCCTTTTCAGAGCAACTTGTCAGGACAGGGTCAGGGAAAGCAGGGTGGGGGCGGGTTCTCCTTCATGACGATGCTTGTAGTTGCACTCATCTTCTTCCTCCTTGGATTTCTTGGAGCCAAGGGCATTCTGCCGCTGCCCGGCCTCTCCCCCGCTGGCTCAGCAGGCGAGCTATGAGCCATGAGCTATCAGCACTGGGGTTTGTGGGGTGGAGTGGAAGCACGATCGAATTATGGAGTTGAAACTGTTAATTGCAGGTGGTATAGAAGATACGCATGTGTGGTATGTGTTATGTATGTGGGTTTTTGGTGCCTTATTTAGGGTTAAAGATGGTATAGTTGCAGGGAGTAAATGTAGTTTTCCATAGTGGTTGGGTAGACTGGGTCAATTCACTGGCGTAATGAAGTCACCTATGTATACAGTACCAGTACCTGACGAAGTAATTAAGATTAAAAAACGCGGTCTAGCCACCAGAGAAAGATAGGTTCATACCTCGTTTCTAGTGTACTATTTGAGACAGTTGATTTCAATATTCAATAGCACGTATTAGTCGTATTTTCTACCAAAATCAAACGAATCACACTCGTCCCCGCGCAGTGGCATGTGTCACACAACTCACAATGCTGGCGCTAGTGATGCATGCTGCAAACCACCTTGGTTCCTCATGCTCGCTCGCAGTTCCACCGTCGTGAATACGCTCCGCCGATCTCTCACCTGCCATCATCGCCGCACCACCATGGACGTAGTTAGTCGCTCGCGTCTACACCTCACCGCGCAAACCCCCTCGCACGTGCTCCGGTTATTAAATTCCGCGGGTTCGTATAAACCGTCAGCCGAGGATCAATCAACGGCACTCCGTGCAGCAGTTACTAACGGAATTCCGTTTCTTTCCGGAATTTTCTCTGGGTTTCGCGTAGGGCAGCTGCCACGTCAGACATATGTCGCCGCAGCTAGAACCGTCGGCCAGCGGCAGCTCGGCGCGCAGCAAAGCGCGCTGGGGGGGCTGCGGTTGGCGGAAGGGATCCGCGCGCCACATGGGTGCGCGTACTCTAGTCGCCGCGGCGCATTCTCCGGCGCACGGGTTGCGCCCGCTGGCGGGATTTCGCGCGCCCAGATACCTGGCGCGGAGGAAGCAGGCGCAGCGGTGGCGGAAGTTGCGGAACCAGCGAATGGAGGTGCGGACGCGGGGGAAGGTGGACGCAGGAGGAACAGTCAGGGGAAGCCGCGGGGAGGGGCAGGTGCAGGGAGCTGGCAAGAGGGGGAGGCGGAACAGTGGGTGCGCGCAGTGCAGGCGCGGGGGGACAGCAGCGGGGAAGGTACCGTTGGCGGAGATCGGGTTGCGGGTACGCGGAAGCCGCGGAAGGGGGAGGAGCTGGAGCTGGTGTGCGATAGCCTTGCGTTCAAAGTGAGCCGCTTTTGAGTCCTTTAAACCAATTCAAACTTATCCAAACCCCTTCGAAAGCGCTGAACATGTTTTAACCCCCTAAAATTGCCAATGCACTTCGAAACCCTCACAGGACTTTCTCATTTTCTTTTCTCCACCAACCCTGTGCACTAGTCTCTGCTGTGCTCTCACGCTAGTATGCCCGCTCAGCTAAACCCCCCTTTGAACCCGATATTCCCTAAACCCTTTACCCACGCCTCTCAGGGTTTGGGCGTGTGCCGCGTGCCTGAGAGCGGGTTTGTGGTTCTGTGCGAGCGCGCATTACCAGGGGAACGGCTGGTGGCTCGTATTGTGAAGGCCAAGCGACAGTACGCAGAGGTGAGGTGATGTGATTTTTGAGGCGCCTCAAAAAGAACGGCTGGTGGCTCGGATCGTCAAGGCCAAGCGGCAGTATGCAGAGGTGAGGTTATTCTGAAAAGACGTCTCTTTATAATCACAAGTGGTATGCATGGATGATTTGATTCGAAAGAGGTGCTTGTAGCCTTGTAGATAGAGACGTAGAGACACTTACCGGCCCCATACATGCTGGCACACATGTTTCTCGCGCTTGTTTCCCCCACTTCCCGTTCTTCCCTTGCACTCCGCTTTCCCCAGATTTCCCTCGTTCCTCCTTTCCCTGCTCCCCCTCCCCACTCCCCCTCCCCTCCCCTCTTCCCCCCCCCCCCCAATTCCCCCCGCCCAGGCATACAAGGTGCACGTGCTCTCGCCCCACGACCACGCCACCACCCCCCGCTGCCAGCACTTTGGGCACTGCGGGGGGTGCCGCCTGCAGAATCTGGAGTACGAGGCTCAGCTGCGCATCAAGCAGCAGCAGGTGGGTGGTTGGGGTGCAGGGTTGGGAACTGGGTGAGTGCGGATTGGATCTGGGGGGAAGAACACGGAAAGCACACTGCGGGGGGTGCCGCCTGCAGAACCTGGAGTACGAGGCTCAGCTGCGCATCAAGCAGCAGCAGGTGGGTAGCTGGGGGAGGGGACTGACTGAGGATGTGGGGATCAAATTTGTGAGAAAGAGAACGTGAGTACACTGCGGGGAGTGCCGCCTGCAGAACCTGGAGTACGAGGCACAGCTGCGCATTAAGCAGCAGCAGGTGAGAGGGGTTTGGGACGCCTCGTAAAGGGGTTGGAAGAGTCGGGCTTGCAGGGCTGGTCCGTGCGTGTCAGCCTTGCTTGCATTTTTTAGGCGCCTCAAAGGTGAGGGGTGTTGATGAGTCTCAAAACAGGGTTGGAGGATTCGGGCTTGCGTGTCAGCCGTGCTTGGATTTTTTCTAGGCGCCTCAAAAGTGAGGGGTTTTGAGACGCCTTGAAATAGGGTTGGAGGGGTGGGGCTTGCAGGGCTGGTCCATCTGTGTCAGCCTTGCTTGCAGCGCCGCTCCTCGTTTGTTGCCACCGGCATTTGAGGCGCCTCAAAACAAAAGGGTTGGAGGATTCGGGCTTGCAGCGCCGCTCCTCATTTGTTGCCACCGGCGTTTCTTCTGTCCTTCCTCTTTCAACCATTGCGTCAACTTATTCTGTTTTCTCTCATTCTGTTTGCCCGTTCTTGCACGTGCGACTCTATGTGTGAATGTGTGAATGTGTGTGTGTGTGGGGTGGGGAGGAGGGGAGGGGGGGGCGGGGGAGGGGGGGTGGGTGGGTGGTGGGTGGGGGGGTGTGCGTGCGTGCGGGCGTGCGTGTGTGTATGTGTGTGCGCGTGCCCGTGTGTGCGTGCGAGCGTGTGTGCACACCAGGTAGCAGAGCTCATGGTTCGGGTGGGCAAGTTCACCCTAACGCCATCTTCTGATGCCCCAACCGCAGCACCAACACCATCACCAGCAGCAGCAGAAGGAGAAGCAGAACCACCACAGGAACAGCAGCAGCAGCAGCAGCAGCAGCAAGGTGACGCTCCTGTGGAGCTAAGGGAAATCATAGGCTGTACCGAGCCGTACCACTATCGCAACAAGGCAAGATGCACCTCTTTCCGTATCACTCTCCATCCCACTCTTCTCTATCCCACTCCTCTCTATCCCACTCCTCTCTATCCCACTCCTCTTTATCCCACTCCTCTCTATCCCACTCCTCCCTTGCCCACTCCTCCTCGCCCTCTCTCTCCCCAAGTATCCTATTCCTCTCCATCCGTTTTCCCCCAGATACTCTCTTCCTCTCCTCTTTTCTCCCATCTACTCTACAGTCTCTCCCGTTTTCCACTCGTTCTTCCACCCACCCTCGCTCACCCTCTCACCTTTCCTCACTCTCAGTCACCCCCTCTTCCCCTCTTCCCATTCTCTTCGCCCCTGTCACCCACAAACGGATTTCTCTGTTGATACACCTTTCAAACACTCTTCTGCTCCTCCAATTTTCTCCTACACCCCTCTCAACCACCACGTGGAGTTCTCTCCGCACCAACGTGTTTAACACTCGGCCTCCGCACCCTCCTGACCCTCCCGATTACCTTTGCCCTTCCCATGCTCTCCCCACCCCTTTCACCTCTAGATAGAGTCTTGACATATCTCAAGACGCTTCCTACGCTCTCTCCACCCCTCTCACCCCCCTCAGATTGAGTTCTCTTTCAACTCTCGTGTGTGGCTCTCCTCCTCGGCACCCTCCCAGTCTTTTGAGACGTCTCATGATTACCTTTCCCCTTTCCGTGCTCTCTCCTCTCCTCTCACCCCCCTTCTCTTTCAACTCTCGTGTGTCGCTCCCACCCCCTTCGCATCATCCCAGTCACCTTTCCCCCTTCCCATACTCCCTCCCCAAACCTCTCACCCCCTTCAGATGGAGTTCTCTTTCAACTCTCGTGTGTGGCTCCCCCCTTCCGAAATGCCCGAGAAACCTCCTCGCTTGCACACGGGAGCAGCAGCAACGCCAGGAGCAGACGCAGCAGCATCAGAATCAGCAGTACCAGCACCAGCAGCAGAAGAAGCAGCAGCAGCTGCAGAAGCCGCCACTGGAGGAAGCGGGAGCGAGAGCGAGGGGGAGGGAGGCGGCGAACCGAGGGAGGAGAGGCAGAAGCAGAAGAAGAAGGGCCGGGGCGGCAGAGGCCAAAACGTGACCCCAAACCCAGGGGGCTTCGCCCTGGGGCTGCATGCACCGCGGCGGTTTGACAAGGTGCTGCCGATCGAGGAGTGCCACCTGCAGCACCCCACCGCCAATGAGGTCAGTCAGTGAGTTGTTGTTTGGTTGCCTTGTCGGCCCGCTATTAAGGTGCTTTATTGAACGGACTTCACAGTCCCCAGCGGTCAGACAAGGTGCTGCCGATCGTGGAGTGCCACCTGCAGCACCCCACCGCCAATGAGGTCAGTCAGTGAGTTGTTGTTTGGTTGCCTTGTCGGCCCGCTATTAAGGTGCTTTATTGAACGGACTTCACAGTCCCCAGCGGTCAGACAAGGTGCTGCCGATCGTGGAGTGCCCCCTGCAGCACCCCACCGCCAATGAGGTCAGTCAGTGAGTTGTTGTTTGGTTGCCTTGTCGGCCCGCTATTAAGGTGCTTTATTGAACGGACTTCACAGTCCCCAGCGGTCAGACAAGGTGCTGCCGATCGTGGAGTGCCCCCTGCAGCACCCCACCGTCAATGAGGTCAGTCAGTGAGTTGTTGTTTGGTTGCCTTGTCGGCCCGCTATTAAGGTGCTTTATTGAACGGACTTCACAGTCCCCAGCGGTCAGACAAGGTGCTGCCGATCGTGGAGTGCCCCCTGCAGCACCCCACCGCCAATGAGGTCAGTTCCTTGCCCGCCCATTCACCCAGTCGGTCAGTCAGCTAGTGAGGTCCGTTCGTGAGCTAGTCGCCTGAGAAATAAACTCCACAGAGGTTTGACAAGGTGCTGCATAGAGGAGTGCCACATGCAGTACCCCACCGTGGTTAAACAGTCAGTGCGTCGGTCACTCTGTCCAGTTGGCTAGTTAACCAGTCAGTCGGTTATTCCGTCGGCAAGACAATCAGTCAGCCATGCTTCCCCCTGCTTTCCTCTGCCCCCCCCCCCCCCCCCCCTGCTCCACCCCTGCTTTCCCTCTACCCCCCCTGCTTGTCCCGCCTCCCCCCCCTCTAACAACTTCCCCTGTACGGTGCTTGCAGATCCTGGCGCATGTGCGGCAGTGGAGTGCGCAGCACCAGCATGTGCTTATTTTGAGTCGACTTAAAAATAGGCCCCCCCTACATGCCGTCATGGCAGATCCTGGCGCATGTGCGGCAGTGGAGTGAGCAGCATCAGTTTTCAGACGTCTCGAAACTTTCACCCTCCCTTCCCCTGCGCTCTTCTACATGAGCCATGGCAGATCCTGGTGCATGTGCGGCAGTGGAGTGAGCAGCATCAGCATGTGCTGCCGCCATACGACCCCATCACCCATGAGGGCGTGCTCAGACATCTCACCATCCGCAAGGGCCGGTGAGAGGATGAGAGGAGGGGGTTTATATGCAGGTGTGTGTGTGTGTGTGTGTGTGTGTGTGTGTGTGTGTGTGTGTGTGTGTGCATGTGTGTGCGTGTTTGAGTCTGCCTGTGAGTCCACACATTCCCCCCATCACCCACGAGGGCGCGCGCAGACACCTCACCATCCGCAAGGGCCGGTGCGCGGGTGGGTGGATGGTTTGTGTGCATGTGTGTGTGTTTGCGTGTTCGAGTCTGCCTGTGATTCAGCACATGCCCCCCATCACCCACGAGGGCGTGCGCAGACACCTCACCATCCGCAAGGGCCGGTGCGCGGGTGGGAGGGAGGGAGGGTGCATGTGTGCGTGTCGAGTTGCATTTTGAGGCGCCTCAAAAGTGAGGTGCATTTTGAGGCGCCTCAAGGTGCGCGGGTGGGAGGGAGGGAGGGTGCATGTGTGCGTGTTCGAGTCCGCCTGTGAATCCACACATGTGCCCCAATTACCCATGAGGGCGTGTTGAGACACCTCACCTCACCATCTGCAAGGGCTGGTGTGTGGGTGCGTGGGAGGGAAGGAGGAAGGGTGCGTGGTTGTTTGTGTGAATAAATGCGTGTTTGAGTCTGTGCGTGCACTCACTTTTCCTACGCCATGGAGGCGTGCTCAGACACCTCACCATCCGCAAGGGCCGGTGAGAGGATGGGCGCGTGGGTGCGTATTATCGTATATGCATGAGTGCGTGTTCGAGTCTGCCTGTGAGTCAACACATGGACCCCATCACCCATGAAGGCGTGCTCATTCCATCCCTTCCATGTGTTCCGTATGTTCATATGTGCCCGTGTGCGTGCCTGCCTGTATGCGTGCAGGGATGAGCTGACAGGAGAGGAGGAGTCATGGTGGGGTACTGACTGGTGACCAACACCGTTCGTTTGCCTTCCCCCAGGCTTTCTAACCAACCAATCATGTGCTGCATGTGACAGTGTGCTGCATGTGACACTGTGTGCTGCATGTGACACTGTGTGTTGCTTATCTGACATGGCCTGCTGTATGCGCCCAGGGATGAGCTGACAGGAGAGGAGGAGTTCTGTCGGTGTACTGGTGACCAAGACTGACTGACTGACTGACTGACTGACTGACTGACTTCTTCCAGTCTTTAAACAGCCAATCACCTGCATGTGACGTCCCCCCCCCCCTGTGTGCGCCCAGGGATGAGCTAACAGGGGAGGGGGAGTTCGTGGTGGTGCTGGTAACAAAGACTGACTGGCTTCTTGCACGCTTTAACCAACCAACCATGCCTATGTGACTGTTGGTATGCGTGCGTGCAGGGATGAGCTGACAGGAGAGGAGGAGTTCATGGTGGTGCTGGTGACCAAGACTGACTGTCCGCTCTGCCCTGCATTCCCTACCTGCCTCTTCACAAACTGCGTGCCTGCCTGTGTGCCTGCCTGTGTGCGCCCAGGGATGAGCTGACAGGAGAGGAGGAGTTCATGGTGGTACTGGTCACCAAGACTGACTGTCCGGACCTCCTGCAACCGCTCGTCGACCACCTCTCCCACGCCTTCCCTCGTTTGGTACGCTCTCAGGTGTTGGTACGCTCTCAGGTGTTGGTACGCTCTCAGGTGTTGGTACGCTCTCAGGTGTTGTCTTGTAAGCTTTCTCAATTCTGAGTCACCCGCCCGCCGCTTAGTTCTCTCTTTTTGTGTCATGTTGGCTCCATCAATTCTTCTTCTTCTCCTCCTTTTTTTTCTCTGTGTGGGAATGTTAGTCAAAACGCTCTCAAGTGTCCTTTGAGTTGATTCACAAGCCACTTGTAGTTCGGTTGCAGACGCCACACCCCCCAACGCCTTGGAGCGGCATGTAATCAGCGACACTCTACTCCCGCTCTTCCCTTCCCTCTTCCCTTCCCTCTTCCCTTCCCTCTTCCCTTCCCTCTTCCCTTCCCTCTTCCCTTCCCCTTCCCCCTCTCCCCCGCTTCTTCCACACAGGTCAGTTTCATAATGACCGTGAACCCCTCGCTAGCCGACGCCACACCCCCAAACGCCTTGGAGCGACTCCTACTGGGGCGCCGTGTGATCAGTGACTCGCTGCGCTCTCTGCACTTTGACATCTCCCCTCTTTCCCCCTTCCATCTCCTCCCTCCCCCACACAGGTCAGTTTCATAATGACCGTGAACTCCTCACTAGCAGACGCCACACCCCCCAACGCCTTGGAGCGGCTGCTGCTGGGTCGGCGGGTGATCAGCGACTCGCTGCGCTCTCTGCACTTTGACATCTCAGCAGCCTCCTTCTTTCAGACCAACTCAGACCAGGTCAGTTCCCCTTCCTGTCTGCCTGCCTGCCTCCCTTGTGTTGAGGCGTCTTATGAGGTAGCTACTTCCACTGCCTGTGCTGCGCTCTCTGCACTTTGACATCTCCGCCGCCGCCTTCTTTCAGACCAACTCCGATCAGGCCAGTACCCCTGCCTATCTGCCCGCCTGCCTTGTGTTGAGGCGCCTTATGAGGTAGCTAGTTCCACTGTCTCCTTCTTTGACATCTCAGCCGCCTCCTTCTTTCAGACCAGCTCCGACCAGGTCTGCGTCCCCCTGCCTGCCTGCCGCCCGCCTACCTGCTTTCCTGCTCGTTTTTTTAGGCGCCTTCTAATATATATATATATATATATATATATATATAAAATCGTTAATAGAACTGCCCGCCTGTTGCTTTCATGCTTGCTTGCCTTGATTCTGGTGCTTGTTTTTTACTTTCTTATTGCCTTCTGTTTCGTAGTTTCCATAAGTGTCCTAGCTAGCGTTTTACCTGATTTAACAGTATAAGTATAATTGTGCCGTTAAACGTTGGTTTGTGCGCTCAATGCGGAGGTACTTTATGAGCTGGTGGAGCAGGCGTGTGCACTCAAGGGCAACAATCAGCAGCAAGCTCATCAACTTGCTTTTCTGTCGGCTGAAATATTCTTCCTCCCTTTCCTCCCATTCCCCGCGCCCCTCCTCGTCTCCCTCATGCCAGGCGGAGGTGCTATATAAGCTAGTGGAGCAGGCGTGTGCGCTCAAGGGCGACGGCAGCGAGCTGCTGCTTGCATTTGTATTATCAACTGTACGAATTCTCCCCCATATCCCGTTTCCCGTGCTGCTCTCTCATCTCTCACAGGCGGAGGTGCTATATGAGCTGGTGGAGCAGGCGTGTGCGCTCAAAGGAGACGGCAGCGAGCTGCTGTTGGACCTCTTCTGCGGCACCGGCACCATCGGCCTCTCGTTGGCCTCGCGGTGAGCAGCTTGGCCTTCCGTGTGCTTGCTCCCGCTGCTGCTGCTGCTGCTGCTGTGGGGGAGAGGCACCAACAGTATGGCAGAGCAAGTTGCCGCTGGAACTTTTCTGTTGCCCCGGCACCATTGCCCTCTCTACCTGGCCTCCCGGTTAGTGCTGTCATGCGACCGTCAAGAGCAGCACGTGCATGTGCGCTTGCTGCTGCAATGCAATGCATACTCTGTAACGCACGCACACCCCTCATATGCGCAACGCACACCCCTCATATGCGCAATGCACACCCCTCATATGCGCAACGCACACCCCCGTCCCCTCCCCTCCATCCACCCACCCACCCGCCGTCCAATCAGAGTGCGCCACGTGTACGGGTTCGAGCTGGTGCCAGAGGCAATAGCGGACGCGCGTCGCAACGCGGACCGGAACGGCATCACCAACGCCACGTTCCTCACAGTCGACCTCAACAAGGCGCTGCCCACCCTGCCCAGCGCTGCTGCTGCTGGGGACAACAAGCCTGATGTGATCATCACAGGTACGACCTGTAGGAGTCTTGTAAGCGTCACAGCCGCAACGGCATCACCAACGCCACCTTCCTTCCTCACAGTCCACCTCAACAAGGCCCTTCCCACCCTGCCCACCTCTGCAGTTGGAAAGAGTAGTCCTGATGTGATCATCACAGGTACGATCTGTAGGGGTGACAGGGGGGTGGATCCCTCAACCCTGAAAAAAGGGGAGAAGTTTTTGAGTCGAATCGCCAGTCTCTTCCCCCGAGCTGTTGCTGCTTCTGGGCTGGGAATAATACCAGAGCTGGTTTGCTCATCACAGGTACAGCCGGAAAGGGGGCGGCAAGCATTTGCGGCTCTTGGAGGGCTTTGGCGTGCATCCCAACTCTTCTTCCCCACTACCCCGCTCCCGCCCTGCTCCCACTCCCGCTCCCTCTCTGATCCCTCCCCATCCCCCTCCCCCTCCCCCTCCCCCTCCCCCTCCCCCTCCCCCTCCCCCTCCCCTGCTCCTTTCCCCCTTCCATTCCGGATCCCTCCCCCCCTGCCCCCTTCCCCATCCCCCTCTCCTCCCCCTTGCCCATCAGACCCGAACCGGCCAGGCATGCATCCGCGGTTGTTGGAGCACATGGCGGAGGTGAGGGCGCCGCGCATCGTCTACGTCTCCTGCAACCCCTCCTCCATGGCCCGCGACCTGCACGCTCTCTGCCACCAGCTCCCCGTAAGTCCCTCCCTCTCTTTTGATTCGGCTCGAAAGCACCCGCGTGTGAGTTTTGAGAATTCTCAAAAAGCACCCGCGACCGCGACCTGCACGCCCTCTGCCTCCAACTGCCCATAAGTCTGCTTTTGAGTCGACTCAAAAGCGTCTCCTGCAACCCCTCCTCCATGGCCCGCGACCGGCACGCACTCTGTTACCAGCTGCCCCTGAATCCGTCCGTACGTTCCACACGAGTTACTTACAGACCAGTAACACACCACTAGTGCTCCACCAGAATCTCACGAGTATCCCATGAGCTCACGCTGTACCGAACGAGTATACCACACGTACCACCGGATTGGGTATCCACTCGTGTGCGTGTGCGTGTGCGTGTGCGTGTGCGTCCCATGCAACCTCGCCACCATGGCTCGGGATCTCCATTTTTCCACTCCACATGCTCTGCGTCCAGCTCTTGCATTCCATGCCCTCTTTCAGCAACTCAGTTATGCCCTTGCCCCGATTGTCCCCTCTGACTTTTCCTTTTCTCTGGTATCTTGCAACTCCCCTGACCATTCTTCTCTCCTCTCCTCTCCTCTCCTCTCCTCTCCTCTCCTCTCCTCTCCTCTCCTCTCCTCTCCTCTCCTCTCCTCTCCTCTCCTCTCATCTCCTATCCTCTCCTTTCCTCTCCTCTGCTCTCCTCTGCTCTCCTCTCCTCGCCTTTCCTCTCCTCTCCTCTCCTCTCTTCTCTCCGCTTCTCTCCTTTCTTCTCCCTGCCCGCCTCTCCTCTCCTTTCCTCTCGTTCTGAGCAGAGTGGTCGTCCGGGGCCGTACCGATTGGAGTGGATACAGCCTGTGGACATGTTTCCGCACACACCCCACGTTGAATGTGTGGCTGCTCTTGCACTTAGATAGGCACTAACAAAGACGATTAAGCAAGCTCTTTCACACTTCTGCTCATTTACTTGTGTACAATGGATCCAAATTGACCACTCTCACAATCATAAATTTGCCCAATATAAGCACGCAAACATATGCTTGCCTACCTTAGTAGCAGTTTCTCAACCATATACATACAAGCGCAGTCACCGATTATGAATGTTAATTGAAAAGCAACAAGATTCGACGTTAACGTCGGAAGGGTTGCGTAGCTGTTACATCCTGCAGAAAAAAAGGAAGGACGATTGGAAGTGTATATATAGAACGCCAAGTTTGCGTTTTCCCATATGCATAATTCAGTTCGTTGATTAATAATGATGTAACTTCAGAATATGTATTTTGTACTAATAAATACCATGACGTAGATTTATAACGTCTGCAATAGTTGTTGTAATTACAACTTACAATGTCGTTTTTATAGCGCTTACCCTTCGTTGTTGTTAAAACTAAAAGCAATATGTACGTGATAGCAGTAACGTTTATTTTGTTATGTAGTCGAGTTTCAACGATATAGTCGAAAGGGTTGTGTAGAAAGTTAAGTTAATATCATTAATCATTTTAGGACGTGTTTGTATCTGATCAGTGATATTCATTTATCATATGCTAAACTTTGAGTTATGGATACAAACTCTTTATATGCTATTCATATGCTTACATTGTTAATTTTAAATGATGTACTATTGAGATGATTTTTTTGGAGACCATAGCACACTCATTGGGGACCACACCAATTTGGGATGACTCATCCATAGCTTGAGGCGTGTCAATTCTGTCTTGAAGATGTGGTTGAGATGATTTTTCACGTGACCAATTGTTTTGCTGACAAGACAAATTCCAGCCAAAACGTTTCTAGGGTTTACCCGTCATACTGAAGATTTGTGAACTTTAAAAGTTCACACTTGTTGCCTCATTGTTGAACTTCGGAAAAACAAAAACGAAATCAACACATCTCGAAAACATCTCGAATCCCAAATTCTATTTCTTCCCTACAAACCCATCCCTTCGAACCCCCCTTCGCCGTCTCTCCCTTCCCAATCAACTGCATAGCTCTCTCGCTACTTCGCTAGTACTACCTCCAGATTCAGGACAGCAGCTACTACATCGCTAGTTAACTACTAGTTACAGCACTACGTCGCTGCTATTCACCAAGGAAACTTATCGAGAATCTCTTAGGTAAGGAACAACTTTCAAAAGGTACCTACTGTACGGATAGTTTGCATGCAATCGTTCGTACTAGAGCACTAGCGCCTTCGCGCCTTGAGCTTTCGCGTGGGCGATGGCGCAATGTTTGCTGGCGCAATGGCGCAATGTTTACTAGCGCCTTTGGCGCCTTGAGCTCTGGCGCCTGGGCGCTGGCGCAATCTTTGCTAGCGCCTTTGGCGCCTTGAGCTATGGCGCCTGGGCGCTGGCGCAATGTTTGCTGGCGCCGGCGCCTTCAGCTATGGCGCCTGGGCTCTGGCGCATTGTTTGCTGGCGCCGGCGCCTTGAGCTAGGCGCCTGGGCGCTGGCGCAATGTTTGCTGGCGCCGGCGCCTTGAGCTATGGCGCCTGGGCGCTGGCGCAATGTTTGCTGGCGCCTTTGGCGCCCTGAGCTCTGGCGCCTGGGCGTTGGCGCAATCTTTGCTAGCGCCTTTGGCGCCCTGAGCTCTGGCGCCTGGGCGTTGGCGCAATCTTTGCTGGCGCCTTTGGCGCCTTGAGCTCTGGCGCCTGGGCGCTGGCGCATTGTTCCCTGGCGTCTTTGGCGCCTTGAGCTATGGCGCCTGGGCACTGGCGCAATGTTTGCTGGCGCCGGTTCCTTGAGCATGGCGCCTGGGCGTTGGCGCAATGTTTGCTATGTATTCTTCATCCAGCGCATTGTTCCATCAACTATCCATTATTCTCATGCTTCACAAGCCCTTCTCTCTTCTCCCCTTTTCAGGAAGAAGCCATCTGTTGAGCCTTTTCATCCCAGGTCAGAGGTCTGCGCCCTCATCCGAGGTGCGCCCTCGTCTCTGCGCCTTCATCCGAGGTGCGCCCTCGTCTCTGCGCCTTCATCCCAGGTGCGCCCTCGTCTCTGCGCTTTCATCCCAGGTGCGCCCTCGTCTCTGCGCCTTCATCCCAGGTGCGCCCTCGTCTCTGCGCCTTCATCCCAGGTGCACCCTCGTCTCTGCGCCTTCATCCCAGGTGCGCCCTCGTCTCTGCGCCTTCATCCCAGGTGCGCCCTCGTCTCTGCGCCTTCATCCGAGGTGCGCCCTCGTCTCTGCGCCTTCATCCAAGGTGCGCCCTCGTCTCTGCGCCTTCATCCCAGGTGCGCCCTCGTCTCTGCGCCTTCATCCCAGCTGCGCCCTCGTCTCTGCGCCTTCATCCCAGGTGCGCCCTCGTCTCTACGCCTTCATCCCAAGTGCGCCCTCGTCTCTGCGCCTTCATCCCAGGTGCGCCCTCGTCTCTGCGCCATCATCCGAGGGTGCCCTCGTCTCTGCGCCTTCATCCGATGTGCGCCCTCGTCTTTGCGCCTTCATCCGAGGTGCGCCCTCGTCTCTGCGCCTTCATCCGAGGTGCGCCCTCGTCTCTGCGCCTTCATCCTAGGTGCGCCCTCGTCTCTGCGCCTTCATCCCAGGTGCGCCCTCCTCTCTGCGCCTTCATCCCAGGTGCGCCCTCATCTCTGCGCCGTCATCCCAGGTGCGCCCTCCTCGCTGCGCCTTCATCCCAAGTGCGCCCTCGTCGCCGCGCCTTCATCCGAGGTGCGCCCTCGTCTCTGCGCCTTCATCCGAGGTGCGCCCTCGTCTCTGCGCCTTCATCCCAGGTGCGCCCTCGTCTCTGCGCCTTCATCCCAGCTGCGCCCTCGTCTCTGCGCTTTCATCCCAGGTGCGCCCTCGTCTCTGCGCCTTCATCCCAGGTGCGCCCTCGTCTCTGCGCCTTCATCCCAGGTGCGCCCTCGTCTCTGCGCCTTCATCCCAGGTGCGCCCTCGTCTCTGCGCCTTCATCCCAGGTGCGCCCTCGTCTCTGCGCCTTCATCCCAGGTGCGCCCTCGTCGCTGCGCCTTCATCCCGGGTGCGCCCTCGTCGCTGCGCCTTCATCCCAGGTGCGCCCTCGTCTCTGCGCCTTCATCCCGGGTGCGCCCTCGTCGCTGCGCCTTCATCCCAGGTGCGCCCTCATCTCTGCGCCTTCATCCCAGGTGCGCCCTCGTCGCTGCGCCTTCATCCCGGGTGCGCCCTCATCGCTGCGCCTTCATCCCAGGTGCGCCCTCGTCTCTGCGCCTTCATCCGAGGTGCGCCCTCGTGTCTGCGCCTTCATCCGAGGTGCGCCCTCGTCTCTGCGCCTTCATCCGATGTGCGCCCTCGTCTTTGCGCCTTCATCCGAGGTGCGCCCTCGTCTCTGCGCCTTCATCCGAGGGTGCTCTCGTCTCTGCGCCTTCATCCGATGTGCGCCCTCGTCTCTGCGCCTTCATCCGAAGTGCACCCTCGTCTTTGCGCCTTCATCCGATGTGCGCCCTCGTCTCTGCGCCTTCATCCCAGGTGCGCCCTCGTCTCTGCGCCTTCATCCCAGGTGCGCCCTCCTCTCTGCGCCTTCATCCCAGGTGCGCCCTCATCTCTGCGCCGTCATCCCAGGTGCGCCCTCCTCGCTGCGCCTTCATCCCAGGTGCGCCCTCGTCGCTGCGCCTTTATCCGAGGTGCGCCCTCGTCTCTGCGCCTTCATCTCAGGTGCGCCCTCGTCTTTGCGCATTCATCCCAGGTGCGCCCTCGTCGCTGTGCCTTCATCCCGGGTGCGCCCTCATCGCTGCGCCTCCATCCCAGGTGCGCCCTCGTCTCTACGCCTTCATCCGAGGTGCGCCCTCGTCTCTGCGCCTTCATCCGAGGGTGCCCTCGTCTCTGCGCCTTCATCCGATGTGCGCCCTCGTCTCTGCGCCTTCATCCGATGTGCGCCCTCGTCTTTGCGCCTTCATCCGAGGTGCGCCCTCGTCTCTGCGCCTTCATCCGAGGTGCGCCCTCGTCTCTGCGCCTTTATCCCAGGTGCGCCCTCGTCTCTGCGCCTTCATCCCAGGTGCGCCCTCCTCTCTGCGCCTTCTTCCCAGGTGCGCCCTCGTCTCTGCGCCGTCATCCCAGGTGCGCCCTCCTCGCTGCGCCTTCATCCCAGGTGCGCCCTCGTCGCTGCGCCTTCATCCCAGGTGCGCCCTCGTCTCTGCGCCTTCATCCCAGGTGCGCCCTCGTCTCTGCGCCTTCATCCGAGGTGCGCCCTCGTCTCTGCGCCTTCATCCCAGGTGCGCCCTCGTCTCTGCGCCTTCATCCCAGCTGCGCCCTCGTCTCTGCGCCTTCATCCCAGGTGCGCCCTCGTCTCTGCGCCTTCATCTTAGGTGCGCCCTCGTCTCTGCGCCTTCATCCCAGGTGCGCCCTCGTCGCTGCGCCTTCATCCCGGGTGCGCCCTCGTCGCTGCGCCTTCATCCCAGGTGCGCCCTCGTCTCTGTGCCTTCATCCGAGGTGCGCCCTCGTCTCTGCGCCTTCATCCGAGGTGTGCCCTCGTCTCTGCGCCTTCATCCCAGGTGCTCCCTCGTCTCTGCGCCTTCATCCCAGGTGTGCCCTCGTCTCTGCGCCTTCATCTCAGGTGCGCCCTCGTCTCTGCGCCTTCATCCCAGCTGCGCCCTCGTCTCTGCGCCTTCATCCGAGGTGCGCCCTCGTCTCTGCGCTTTCATCCCAGGTGCGCCCTCGTCTCTGCGCCTTCATCTCAGGTGCGCCCTCGTCTCTGCGCCTTCATCCCAGGTGCGCCCTCGTCGCTGCGCCTTCATCCCGGGTGCGCCCTCGTCGCTGCGCCTTCATTCAGGTGCGCCCTCGTCTCTGCGCCTTCATCCCAGGTGCGCCCTCGTCTCTGCGCCTTCATCCCAGCTGCGCCCTCGTCTCTGCGCCTTCATCCCAGGTGCGCCCTCGTCTCTGCGCCTTCATCCCAGGTGCGCCCTCGTCTCTGCGCCTTCATCAGAGGTGCGCCCTCGTCTCTGCGCCTTCATCCGAGGTGCGCCCTCGTCTCTGCGCCTTCATCCGAGGTGCGCCCTCGTCTCTGCGCCTTCATCCGAGGTGTGCCCTCGTCTCTGCGCCTTCATCCGAGGTGCGCCCTCGTCTCTGCGACGAAGCCACCTCACTGCCACACTCGCGCCTGTGGTGGCGAATTGAATCACTGCCTCAGGCTGAGCGTGTGCGTCGACTGGCACCCTTCGGCCCTTTGGCGCAACAGGGCTCGGGCTCATGGCCTCGAGCCTTGACCAGCGCGAGTCTGGTCAAAGGGCCTGGTCAACAGACTGGAGTCCCCAAACACACTCGACACTCACAACAGCGCTCATGAAAATGACTCGACATTCATGAAACACAGAACATTCATGAAACACAGAATATTCATGAACGCACATGTTCGTCCATGAAAAAGACATGAACGTACATGAGCCGACATGAACGAACATGACTCGTCATGATCCGTCATGGCTGATCATGATTCCACAGCAACAGCACATGAAACAAAATGCATAAATGAATGCACACAGAACACACACAAAATGCATAACGTCATGCAGGCGGCTGGTTGCAGTGCAAAAATAATATTTTGCACCCAACATATTTTGCTGCCCGTTTACTAGATTGTTTAGAATTGAAAGCTCATAGAAATAACGTTCGGGCGCTAGCACTTTGGCGCTTTGGATCCTTGGCGTCTTCAGCGCATTGGGTGCTGGCGCCTTGGTGCCTTGAGCGCATTGGGCGCTGGCGCCTTGGCGCCTTGAGCGCCAGCGCATAGGGCTCTGGTGCCTTGGCAGTTTTAGCGCCAGAGCATTGGGCGTTGGCGCCTTGTCGCCATGATTGCAAGCGCATTGGTATAGATGATTTTCATCAACTACCTATTCTTCATCCAGCCCATTGTCCATCAACTATCCATTATTCATGCTTGACAAGCCTTTGTCTCTTCTTCCCTTTTCAGGAAGAAGCCTTCTGTTGGGCTGCAAGCTGTTTCAGCGTACCCAGCACTCACCCTTGCCGTGTCTCTCACCCGTGCCGTGTCTCCTACTCTTGCCATGCACTCCATGCACTTGCCTTCCCTTCTGAACGAAGAAGCCAGCACCCATCACAAGCCTTCCGTGGACCTGCAAGCCGCCTCATCGTGCGTATGCCTTTATATGCTTCCATTTTTTTTTTCTATATATTTCGACATCGTTGTGTTTTCATGTCTGTTTGTATGTACTTCTCTGTCTGCCTCTTTACAATGGAATTGGAGTGCGATTTGTTTGCACAATCTCCCTCTTCATGTCACTTTTCTTACTCACTTTTGCCATAAGCTCCATATGATGTCTTCATTTCATAATGGTGCCTGCACTTGCCACAAGCGTTCTTAAAGCCGCATGAGCGTACGCGGCACTCAACCATCCCGTGCCTCTCACTCTTGCCATGCGCTTCGCTCGTCATCTCCACCCGTCATTGCCTCGCCCTTCATCTGCCTCCTTTCCTCACTGTTTACCCCTTCCCCACTTTCACCATGTGGCAGGCCGTCAGTAAGCGTGGTCTACGATTGCACTGTAATCTTGGTACTTGAGTAGATGAAGACTTGTACGTGCGTGCATGGTTGCAATCAGTCTTGTATTTTCATTTCTTTAAGAACATTTTTTAAAGAGATTTGGTACTCTCGTAACTTGTACAACGGTTCTTTAATAACCATATCTTCTTTCTAACCTTTCCGTGAATAATTAAGATAAATTAGATTACCACACTTTCTGCAATTAGATTGCTGTCATGTGTGCACATCTCTGCGTGAGTGTGCTCATTCAATCTTGTTGCCATGTTTATGCTCAACGAGACATGCTCATATGTTCCGTTCCATGCCGACGTGTTTATTTTGATTGCTCACCCAGTCGTCTTCGTTCTCTTAATGGCTCATCCCACCGTCGAAGTTTTTTTTTTTTTAATTACTATCATCTCTTTCTCTTTATCTTTACCCCCTGTTTCCTCGTGCTTCAACATCAGGAAACTTTCCAGCATCTCCTTGTTTGACTCCCTTTCTCCATTGCTATTTACTCTCTCATCCCTCAATACCCTGTAAGCCGGCTTTTTTATCTTAAAATTTTCAGGTAGACTAGCTGTGCTCTGCTTGCTACTGGAAAGAAACAGAGTTGATTGTTATGCTCTCGTGTACGCTTTCTCGATTCTACACCTTTAATATACCGTCTCCCCCCGGATATAAGCGCCACCCTAGGATAAGCGCCTGGCGCTTCTAATTGGCATATGGCGCTTATATCCCCTCCTCGATTATAAGCGCACCCCTTGAAAAAACTTGTTTTATTATAAGCGCACGTAAACTTTAAAATTTGAAATGTGTTCAAAAAGCTGTAACGATTTTTACTTTAGCAGGCGGATATGTTGCAGATTCGGTTCCCTTCACATTCGGACCCTGCACTGGATGCGGGTCCAGTCAGCAGGACCTATCAGGAGCTGGATGTGAGTCAGATTGGGTGTATCTCCCAGCGCGCGCGAGAATTTCACAGACGATCCCATGTAACTTCGACTCGATTGAAAAGGCAAGCACGAGACCTACAGTTTGGTGTTAAAAGATATAAAAAATATGTATGTCATTTTATAAACGCCGGCGCTTATAAATTTACTCGATTATAAGCCCACCCCCATGAAAAAACCTGTTTTATTATTGCCCCCCATGGGGGTATATCCGGGGGGATACGGTATATGTTTCCACCACACACATGGTAGTCAACTCCTGTTTGATCACACCTCTACATACATTCTCACACATCCGTTCATATCAAATCGCATTTTTGTGCACCCCTCTGTATCGTTCCACATGCGTATAGACTCGAACCAATTCACTTGCTCCATCCCATCCAGCAACCTTGAAGCTACCAGCTCTAACCATACTGTAAGCAGTTACTTTGTGCTCTATTTCGAGACACTTGAAAAAAAAAATCATTTTTAATCAACCTATCTTTTGTTAATTTCTCGGCAAACCCTAAACCTTAAACCTGGCGCATGGTGCCCGGTGCATGAGCCCGGGTCATGGTGCCCGGCTCATGGTGCCGGGTTCATGGTGACCGGGCATGGTGCCTGGAAAATCACATGTTGCCCGGCTCATGGTGCCCGGCTCATGGTGACCGGCTCATGGTGCCCAGTACATGGTGCCCGGCTGATGGTGCCCGGGTCATGGTGCCCGGCTCATGGTGCTCGACTCATGGTGCCCGGGTCATGGTGCCCGGGTCATGGTGACCGGCCCATGGTGCCCGGCTCATGGTGCCCGGCTCATGGTGCCCGGGTCATTGTGCCCGGCTCATGGTGCCCGCGTCATGGTGACTTGCTCATGAGGCCCGGCTCATGGTGACCGGATCATGGTGCCCGGGTAATGGTGCCCGGGACATGGTCCCGGCTCATGGTGCCCGGTGTTACGAAGAAGAAGTGATTGCACTATGAAAGTTGGAGTACAAGTAGGAAACCCTAACTTTGTGTACCCCCTAAAGGCTAACCCACTATAACCTACACAATAATAACACATACAGTGTTTGACACACCCCCATAGGCAAAGTGGGGGAGAACAATGGGTCACAAGACCAGTCAAGAAAGGCAAGCAAGCTCAGGGTGGATCACAACGTCACCACACACTCCGAGCACAAGCAAAGGGCCACAAGGCCAGTTCACATGCAGAAGTATATATAAGTAGTACAGACACCAGGGGTGATCTCAACCTAGCAGTGCAAACAGGCAGGAGTAAATATAGAGATCACAATAAAGGCAAAGCCTACAACAAGTGAGGCAAAGTGGGCACTAGCCCCAACAAAGTACAGAAGCGCTGATGATTACTAGGCTGAAGTGCCTTGGTGAAAATATCAGCGGTGTTGGCCTGAGAGGCCACGTAGCGCAGACGAAGCTGACCACGCTGCTGCAGCTCACGAGCAAGGAAGTAACGGAGAGCGACGTGCTTCGTTCTGTGCTCCAGTCTGTGCTCTCGACACAAGACAATGGCAGCCTTGTTGTCGACGTACATCACTGGAGGAGAACTAGGCCGCTCTCCAAGGTCGGTCAGCAGGTAGGTGAGCCAGCGTAACTCCTGTGCAGCCATGGCTGTGGCGTAGATCTCAGCCTCACAACTGGAGCTGAGAACCGAAGACGAACGAGTAGAGCGCCACGAAACTGAACCAGAGCCAAGGCTGAAGGTGTAACCCTGTGACGACCGCTGAGTAGCCTGGTCGTCAACCCAAGAAGCGTCTGAGTGCCAGTGAGAACAACTGAGCTCCCTCCTCCAAGCACGAGCCCCATGCCTGATGTACTGCACAAGTAGCGCAATACCCTCTTTGCAGCATCCCAGTGCACCTTTCGGTGACGACCAGGAGCCACGTAGCGAGCCAGAAGGCCAAGAGGGTATGCTAGGTCAGGACGAGTGCAAGTCATCAGGTACATGAGGCAACCAACTAGCTCTGGGTAAGGACCACTCGACTCTACGGACTCATCCGAAGGCAGAGCTGAGAGCGAGTGACCTATAGCCAGAGGAGTGGCCTGTGCTGAGGACCAGGTGAAACCGAAGCGCTGAAGGACCCCCTGCACCATGTGTGACTGAGTCAGGGTAATGGTGCGGCGTGCTCTGTCCCGGGTGATCTGCAAGCCAAGGTAGCTGCGCAGCTCAGCCAGGTCTGTGCACGTGTGTCTCTTCTGCAGCTCCGACTTCACGTGGGCGAGAGACTCAATGTCAGCTGTGGCAAAGACCAAGTCGTCGTCGTACACGAGGATGTAGAACGGCGGCAGCGAGGTGTCGGTGCGTAGAAACAGCGACGGGTCAGCAGTAGAAGGAGAGAACCCAAGTGCCGCAAGAGTAGTCCTCAGTGTGTCGTGCCACTCACGTGGCGCCTGGCGGAGATCGTAGACCGGCCGGCGGAGGCTCCACTGGGTACCACGAGGGAACGACCCAGTGAAGCCAGGAGGGCGGCGCAGCCTGATCTGCTTGTGCAGACTGCCCTGCAAGAAAGCTGTGCTGAAGTCAAGAGAGTGAAGCTTGTAGTCGCGCTGAGCAGCAACGTGCAGTAGTACCCGAAGAGTGGTCATCTTCGGGGTGGGGGAGAAGGTCTGGAAGAAGTCTACTCCCTCTCGCTGACTGAAGCCTCGAGCAACGTAACGAGCCTTGAAGACAGGCGGAGAACCCG